CAGGTTCTGAAAACTGCGTGGCACAGTGACGGAGAGGAAGGTCTTCCAGTCGTACACCACCTTCAGCCCAAAGTCCGTCTCGACCACGATGTGAAAGCCAAAGGCAAAGATGTTCACTTTGCCCTGGCCCAGCTTCAGGGGCAGATAGAGACGCTCATTGTTGATCTGCGAGGAAGGAAACGAGACACGCCGTTAGCGGGAACGATGATCAGAGCCGCCGCGGGAGGACACGGACGAGAGCGCCTCGGCGATCTCGGAGCCACGTCCCCGCCGACCTCGCCTCTACGTCCGAAACAGAGCGGCCGCAACGGAAGCCTCCTCCTAAAGCCGTGCCTGGCGGCACCCTAGGGACGAGCCCGAATCCACGTGCTTCCCCACCCCTGGAAAACCTGGCGAGCCTTAAGGCCTCGTGCCCGGGGAATCGCTCCACGGTTCGTTAGCCACGGCAGGGAGAAATAACCGCGGCCCTCGCGGGCCCGCACTCACCAGCACGGTATACTTGTAGGCCCGGTGGATGACGATGTTGTAATTGAAGACCTCCACTTCCACTTGTTTCACCCACAGGGCCAGAGAGGTGTCCCGATCCTCGTTCTTGGCCGTGACGGTGAATGCCGGGAAAGTGTCCGAGCGCTCCGCCCTCGGCCGGGTGATCGTGGTGCACAACACCAACGCGCAGCTGCTCTGGAAGTCGAAAGAGTAGCCGTCAAAAGTCAAGTAGTGTCCGTAGCCGGAAACAATGCAGGAGGCGTCAGTGCGGGCGTGGCAGTAGTAAAGGCCGTTCTCCTCCAGGCAGTACTCATCGTCCTTACAGGAGACGTTCTCACAGTACACGCTGTTGTCAGAGCCGTTGCAGTAGCATAGGAAGTGGCAGGCGATGTCCATCCAAAAGGTCTGGTTGGTGGCCAGCTGGCGCCCCTCGAAATTGCAGCCGCACTCGCCGCGGGGAACGCAGCGGGCGCCACGGAGGGCGAAGCCCTCGTCGCACTGGCAGCCCTCTGTGCAGGCGTCCGTGCAGACGGGGCCCGTGGCCAGGGTCTCGCAGGTCTCCACGCAGCTCATGCACTCCTCAAAATGGCTGTTCTCCGGGCAGGTGAGAGCTGCAGGGTCGACAAAAGTGGAGGGTGAGTTTCCAGCTCCAGAGGCCCTGTGGAAGCACCCGGCGAGGGAACGAGCAGAAGGTGGGAACGAGGCAAGCGGCGACCGATTCGGAGGAAAACAACAGGAGGGAAAACAGTCCCAGCACCTTGCTGGCCACCGGCTCTTCCCAACCCCTTTGCAACTTCTCCTCTCGGCCATCGCCCTCGCATCATAGCCCTGTCCGGCTACGTGCCGAACGACGCCTCCTTCTGCTATATCGGAGGGTACGAGGCCGGGGCTCCCTCGAACTTCCGTGGCGGAGATGGGGGCTGCCTCCCCACCATGTACTTCCACACTGGGGATTTTTCACATTTGCTTCTGAATAATGAATGTTTTCACATCGGCAGCAAGTTTATAGCGACAACTACAAACAAGTGTTATTCAAATTATCCTCTGGTGGTGGCGTACGGCGCTGCCAGACACCATCTGCAGCTCTGGAATGCTCCTACGCTGCATCACAAAATTTCTGATGCCTCCTGAAATGCCACCCTGAAATCGCTTCCCTGGGAAATCTGTCTCTGCCAGCACGAGCGCGGCTCAGAAACTACCGTCGATGTGGGGGACGGTGCTACCTTGCCTTTGGGCTCGTGAAACATGGCATTCCTATCGCTATTCCCTTATTTCCCTTCCATACGCTGAGCGGGAGAGCGCTTCATACGTGCCGGCCTCTCTCGTGGCGGAAAGCCCTAATGGGCTTAGCTCTTTCGACAGCAAAGCCAATCTTTGGTCCACCGATCGGAAAGAGAGCAGGAAAATTGCCCCCGATGGCCAGCGTTTAAGCACCTCGGCCCCCACCCCTCCGTACGACTTCAAACATCTAATGCTGCCATTAGCGCTGTCGATTCAGGGCCTCCCTCCCGAACGGCCCTTCTGCTATCGAGTGTCTTCCAGCTCAGCCACGGAGAAACACCCTGTGGGTAGGGGGTAACCGCTGGAGACAAGAGAGGAGATGAGGAAAAGAGAGCCCGTAATTTTCGGCATCCCATTGGAAAAGCTGCTCTACGTCTGTACGCCCGCAAACTCCTGACAAAAAACTCTGCCCGAGGTCGGCAGGGTCTACGTCCCCTTCTCCCCGCCTCAGATACTTAAAAGTTTTGCCGGACTCACGGCAAAAACTGTGGCTTCTCCACTGGCCGACGTCCACCTCGGCGTTCTTGCAGGCGCCGGCGTAGCGCGCCACCGAGTCGCACAGCTCCGAGCGGTTGCCCCCGCTCTGGCACAGACGGAAGAGGCACGTCCTGTAGTAGGCCGAGACGTTGACCACGCTGTGGCACTCCAGAAAGGAGCTGTTGGTGGGGTCGTTGATGATGCCGCAGTTGGAGCGGCTCCTGTAGGACTTGAGCAGCTCCGAGTCGTTGTTGCAAGCCTTGAGGAGGTCCCCGCACTCCCCGTTGCAGATCTCATCGAACGTGGTCCAGCTCTCCAGGAAGAGCTCCAGGTTGTCCGTGCACTTGCCCTTGGGCAGGCAGAATTCATCGCCGGCGTTGCCGTTAAAGAGGCCGCACAGGCCCCCGGTACAGTTGAAGTAGGCGGTGGAAAGGCGGATCTCCAGGAGGCCCAAATCGTAGTAGCCGATAGCCACGAGCCCCTCTGACACCATCACGGTGCCGTTGTCGCTACGGTAAATTTCCAGGCGGCCGGAAGGGTGGAAATAGGGCAGCTCCACATCATAACCATTCACCTGCAAGTAACAAGCAGATCGAGACGCTTCAGGGAGGGAGCCGCAACTTTGCACGGCTTTTCCCGTCTGCCGGCCACAATGCGCCGAGTACGCTAAACGCTTCTGGACCAGGTCCCACCAAGTCCAAGGCCCAGATCCTCCTTCGAGTGAGGGCATAGAGCTGTTTCCTTGCTTTTTTGTCCCCCGGAGAATGTTTTCCCAGGGAAAAAACAACTTGCGGGAGACAACCGCAACGTCAGGAAAGTCTCCAGAGCTGACTCGGCAAGCCAACATAAATAACGGTGCTGCGACAACAATTCCGCAGGCACCTAAAGGGCCCGCAAACCACGATGGCCCACGCGGGCCTCCTCCAAGTGCCGCTGTGGTGCCCGAGGCCTCCAACCTGGGGGAACGATGCGGGGCCACAGGGCCACGAGCCCTTCTCCAAAGGGACGCTGCATCCCACCGTGAGTCACCACCTCCCGCCCCGGCCCCGGGGTGGGCCGCCCTGACGGCAGCACCTTTACCTTGATCTCCGACGGGCTGCCGCCTCCAATCTTCACCTCTTGGCCAAGCACCTGGATCCGCACGACACGTGGCCCGTTGGGAGCGGAACCGGGCTTCTTTTGGCTGATGTCCACCTCGATGAAGTCCGGTCTCTCCGGGCAGGTTTTGAGCAGCGTGTAGGAGTGCTCCAGTGGATAGGCGAAGGCGACACCGTCAAACGTCTGCAGCACCTGGTTCTGCCCTACCAAACACAGGCTCTCCCGTTTGGGATAGCAGCCCCGGTAGCCATTCTCGATGGCGCAGACTTCCCCCTCGGGACAGGTGGCGTTAAAGCACCTGGCCTCCCCGCCGTCCTCGCACTGGCACTCCACCGTGCAGTCCGCCGCCGCCCAGAAAGACTGTCCGATGGCGTAGTACTGGCCGTCCACATCGCAGCCGCACTCCCGGACAGGGACGCAGCGGTCCGTGCTGAGGACGTGGCCCTCGTCGCACTCGCAGCCCTCGGCGCACGGGGAGGTGCAGGCCAGCGGGGCCGTGAGGTCTGAACACGTGGCGGGGCAGCTGCTGGCACACACCGAATAGCGGCTGCGCTCCGGGCACCGCACTGCCGTCGCTGTGGGCGCAGAGGGGAGACAAACAACCGGAGGACCACGTTACGGCACGGTCCTGGGCCAATTACCTTTTTCCCCTGGACGCACAGCAGAGACAATGCAGAGTGACCCGGGAGTCCCACTTGAAAGAAGGATTGTCCTCTCCATTTCCCTCCCGCACCTCCCCGGCCATTCCTCTCCTACAAGCAATAGCTTCTCCAAAACGGCCCCGGAACCATCAAGCCGCCCGTAGCTATTTAACGCCGCAAGCAAGGAGGCTGGGCAGAGAAGCGTGCCGCCGGCCAGTCCCCGTTCCGGTCCAGCCTCCATCTCTCGTCACAGCAGCCGACCGTCCGCAGAGCGAGACGGAGCTCCCGCCCCGTGCCCGACTCGTGCCGCCCTTTGGCTGGCGCAAAAGTCTGATGCCACGGAGAAGAGGGATCGACGGGCTCTCGCCCGACTCCCTCCGCCTCGAGCGACTCCCTCCCCTTTCCCCCCCCCCCTTATCTTATATGCTGTCGGGCACACGGGCAGACCCCTGAAATCGCTCCCCTTCTGTCAGAAAAGGCTCCCAGCACGAGCACGCAGACGCTTACCGCATCCCGTCTGGGTGCGCCACTCTCCCACCGAGATGCCCAGGGCCTGGCACACCGCAGCGTACGCCTGGATGGCTTGGCAGAGGCCGGTGCCGTTGTCCCGTGCGCTGCAGAGGTCATAGACGCAGCTGTGGATGAAGGCGGTGGGATCCACAACGGCGCCGCACTCCCACAGCGGCCCGCCGCTTTTGTTGATGAAGCCGCAGTATTCAGAGGTGAAATAGAGAGACTCGGTGGCATCGTCGCAGAGGGTGCAGGTGAGACTCGGTGGCATCGTCGCAGAGGCTGCAGTTCTCCGAGCAGCCGGCCGAGCATTTCCGCTCCGGGTGCGGCACTCGCCAGCTCTCTCCCAGGTCCGGCACGGATGCGGCCAACCTGCCGTCTGAGCGGAGGGTATCGTCCTCCGGGTCTTTATTGTAATTCCCGCATAGACCGCACGTGGCATTGATGTACGTGCCTGGAACGGAGACGGAAGCGTAGTGTTGTCCGTCATAGGTCACCAGCAGGCCAAAGTCAGTCTCCAGGGCTGTGGACAAGCCACTTTGGTAGACTTTTATCGCACCCAGCTCCAGAGAGATGGGTAGGGACACCACCAAGTCATCCACCTGCGGGAACAACACCGGACAACTAAGCCGGCACGTAAAATAGCAGAGCCCTCACTCTGGGACACAAACAGGAGCCGTGCAGACCCGTTACGGTCTCTGAGGGTTAGGGACGTGCGCAGAAGGACAGCCGTCAGTAAGCCACAAGCATTTACCGCCACGGCCGTCACCCATACTCGTTTCCCGAGGGACGCGCAGGGCCCGGAAACGCCGTCCCACGTTCTCCGGGCTGCCGTCGCAGTCTCGCCACCGCCTCAGAGAAGCCAACCCAGCTAGTTGTCCCCTTTCAGCGGGGCTCTTACCTTTGCTTTCCCAAAGCTGCCCTTGGGGAGGACGATCTTGTGCGAGTAGACCTCCACAAAAATATCCCTCAGCCAGGAGACGGAGGAGCCGCCTCGGTTCTCATTCTTGGCCTCCACGTTGAAGTAGGGCAGCTGGGAGCCTGGCCAGCACTGCCTGGCAAGGAGGTAGGAGCAGGAACCCTGGAAGTGAAAGAGGAAGCCGTCGAAGGTGTGGTAATGTGGATCTCCGAACACCACGCAGGTGCTGCTCTCCACCGGCACGCACTGGAAGAACTTGGTTTTCGGCTCGCAGGCTTCAAAGGAGCCGCAAGCCATCTCCTGGCAGAAGATCTCGTTGCTGAAGTCCAGGCAGCGGCACTTGGTGGTGCAGTTGGCGTTGTCCCAGAAGATCTCCCCTTGACGGAGAAAATGTCCTAGAAAGACAGAAAGGGAAAAACCCACGCTACATCGCTTCTCTAAACAGAGGAACGCGCTCTAACCGCACCGTGTCCGTCCTCGGAGGGCTGTGACGGCTCTATGATCGAGAACGCTGCCAAAGCATCCTGCTACCGGCTTCTCGCCCGCCACTTTCTTTGTGCGGACTCCCGGCAAGAGCCACTCAGCAAAGGGCTGAAAAAGAAGCTTGCGATCGAGACGTACCGCGCGCCCCCTTCAAGTCGTACCCGTGCCGCAACTCCGTGGGATGGCGCGAGCGCTGCCACAAATCCAGGGTCGGTGCTGCGCCGCACGGGCTAGCTAACTTGAAGGCTATTCCTTCCTTCTGCACACCCACCACCCTTGCTGTGCGTCAGTACCGTGGGGCCCAAGGGCCGTTTTTGCAATTTTCTCAAAGGGAAAGTCCTCTGGTAAAGCTCACGCCTTCTGGAGGCCATTTCCAGCACCGTCGCTGCACTTGCGCCGTCCTCCAGCTTTGTTGCCGTCTCCATAATTCCTCCGTTCACGTACCTTTGCCGGCTGAAGAGCGACTCCGCCATCAGCGGCCCAGAAGCAATTCATTCCCATTCAGAAAGCGCTCATAGTAGCTATGAAACCAGAGAGCTGCTGGTAAGTAACTTCCACGCCATACATCAGCGACGACAGGAGACGATGAGGGATCACACAGCAATAGACTGAGCAGACTTGTTACACGGCGGTACTATAAAGGGAGGCAGGTTTGTCTGGCGAGAGACGTGAGAGGCAGAGAGCGGATGGGAGAACAAGGGTGGCAAATACCCGTGAGAGTTTCCCTCTCCTCCATATGGCCGTCTTTCACACTTCTCAGACGCGTGGCTTCCACCGTGCACGCTGCCTGAGTTTACCTCTCCTAAACTTTTTGTTCTCTTCCCTGCCTGCTACAAAACAAGCTATTTTCCGCTTCCCTGCACGAACGACACCTCCTCTTAGCAAGACTCACTCGTGAGGGCTCCTGCGCCGACCGCCCTGGTGCGGGGGATTTGGGCAAATGAGCGCCATTAGCCACGGCGGGCCCCCTCGCCTCCGACGCCTAGCGCTGCATCTCCTCTCGTGGAGGGCGACCGGCTGTCCACCGTGAAACGCAAATCCAGTGGTGGAATCTACCCACGCTGCCCTTGTCACTTACAAAGCCGAGACCGGCTTTCAGCCCCTTTGCAAAGTCTAGCCTTTCTTCCTGGGGTCGGCATCTGGAAGTGGCTGGAGCACTCGGACCCGAACCCTCTGCTGAGGCTGCGAGAGCCTCAGAGTCTCACGGGCCTTCTTTGGTACAGTCCTAAACCAGAACATAAAGAAGCCGCACGTCTCAGACCGGTGACATCTCCGGTGTTCGTCGGCGAGTGACACTCTTCTCTTGCTAGAAAGACTCCCGGAGCAAGTGGATGTTCCTGACCGTTTTATTTGTCGAACGATGCCATAATCTCTCTGCAGCAGAGTCCCTGTGCAGTTGCTGTGTGCATCTATTAATGCCTTTATATCCCCACGCTGTCGGTGACACATGGAGACAACATCACTGATGCAGGAACGTGAGGAATGGAGGCTTCCAGCAATACCATGCCACTAAAATCCCAGGAAGGAATAAAACCTGGCATCAATGACAGTCTTGTTAGCTGCTGGATGAAAGCAACACCGAGAGCAGAGAAGAGTCCCAAGTATTTATGTGCCCCTCTCCATTTTCTCAGAGCTAGCGAGAGAGGCCTCATCTGCACAGATAGTTTGCTGCAAATACTCCTCGTGAGCCGGGTCCGGCCGGCCGTGAGCGTGCCGACACCACCCTGGGAGAGGCGACGCCAATTGGGACAAAGGGCAAACGACAGCTGACGATGGCTCCTTCGCATACGCTCCCGAGGATGCTCTCCTGCCTAACCACACGTGCCCACGCTGACACGAACGACAAACCTCTCCATCCGCTCTTCAGGGCGTTAGCCTTTTGCCGTCAGCAGACTGACAAGTATTGCTGATAGTCGGGTGATGACTTTGCGCCGCGCGCAGCCACTCAGAGACGTGCACGGGACCGAATCCTGCTCGCGCGTTTCCATCGCCGCAGCTCCAGCTCGAGGGGACGCCTTAGCAAAAACACAAATCGCACAGCAGCCCAGAGCGGTCGGGCGCCTCTCCACCGGCGTCCCACCAGCGTTACCTTTTGCTGCGCCGCACCTCGAAACCTGAAATAAAAGCAACGCTTACCTCTCAGGCTGCAGCCATTGGCTGGATCTATTTCTCTGCCATCTATTTTGAAAGCCCAGCGCCCGGGGATGTTAACATTGGTTGTTTCTTCAATATTGACTATGTCTGGCGTTCTGGAGCCTGGGATGCTGAAGAAGTTGGTGATATTTCCACCATTGAAGCCAGCCTAAAACAGAGAGAGCGCAAATTGCATCACGCATCTTTGCTACAGGAAAGAGACGCCGCGTTTCCGCACTTCTCTGTCCCCCGCGATAACTCGCGACTGTATCTTCTTTCGTTGTCAAGTCTCTTTTCAGAGATATCCGTTTTCAAGTAGTTTGAATGAGAGTGAAAAGCTCAACAGCTACTACAAGCAGTATGGATGTATATTTCCACATTTCTGTACCTATATATACATGCGTATGTATGTACATGTAGATCTATGGGTGTATGTATTGAGTGTCTGAGATAAAGTGAGGAAGTAACAGAGGGAGGCTTGCCTTACACAGGGAACCTCGCCCCCCTCGGGTCGATGGACTGGCTGCGGCACCGCAGCCTACACCAAATTTTGGAGCGCTCGTCCCGCCGTGCCCGGCAGTGGGCTCGCAAGGCCAGTACTGGGGATGCTGAGGGACCTAATGGCATGAGTGACCACGGATACATTGGGAAAGCTACAGGCAGCCATCCGAGAACTCAACAGAGATGGGCATATGAGAGCAAGAGCCTCACCTGGGCCATCACCCCACCGAGACCGGTCAGGGGGTCTCCTCCACTGGCTGTCCCCGTGGTCCAGCTGATTTCATGGTAGTTAAATATGGCAAAAGACGACACTCCGTCTGTGATCAGGACAGCTTGGAAAGTGTTCACCTGTTGAAAACCACACGCACATTCACAAGATGCTACTGCTTTTCGTACGCTGCCTGCCCGCCCTTCTGCCAGGTTCATCTCTGGCCCAGGTGAGACGCGGGAGCCTCGCGGCAAAGAGCGGCAGAAGCCAGCCGAGACCCAAAATAGGCTCGCACCCGCTCCACAACTCCGCCAGCTCCCATCTCCACCTGGGAGGACAACAGGGCCATCTCTGATCCAGTTTAACACCAATAGATGGCAGCACGGGAATAAGCTCATGCGGAAGAAGCAATCGGCAGGATTCGGGTTGTTGTGACCTGTTATCTTCCATTACCCTTTCTTAGCTTTATTCCTCGCCACATTATCGTACCCCAGTTCCCTTCCTCATGGATGCCCTACAATACTGTCAACTGTGGATGACGTCCAAGTCAGCCGTGTATATCATGCGCTTTGCTCGGCTGGCAACTCCCCTCGCTACCTGCTCGTTCCACCGCTCGCATTCTTCCTTTCACTTGAAATGACTCTGCATTTCCAGCCCTGCAAACTCCCGGTACATCCATGCAAGTGTCGGCCCAGGCCTCAGACGGGAAGGGCGTGCTTTGCCAGCCGGCGAGGACAGCACAGCCCCGAGCCCTTCCCTTCTAGGGTTGCACGGAAAGACAGAAGAGGGCTCCCCCCTTGAGATCTCCCCTCTCGCCGTGCAGATCTGGCAGCAGAGGCCATGAGTGGAAACTAAGTCCATCCCGTCTCTCAGCTTTCTGCGTTTTCCAGTCCTACCCGTCCTTGCCCATCATAACCGCTCTGCGCCAGGACCGTGCCGTGATGAACAACTGCTGCTCCTGCCTCTGAGTGAGCAGGATTTTAGCCGGGGACAAAGCGTGTGCTGCCCCTCTTTCATTTATTCAAGAACAATACTAGGAACCCAGCTACATGTGCGCCGCAAGCTGCGAAGGAAACTCTAGCCACAGAAACAATTACCCGGTGATACGTGAAAGCACCTCGTTCGAACCATCTCACGCTAGGAAGCGTTAGGGCTTACCCTGCCTGCGACCCCCGAGCACCTCAAGCACAGAGGGCTGAGCCGCCCTGCCTTAACAACAGGTCACATGTGCTGCTGGATGAAGGGAAGATGCCGGAACTGAGGGGCTGGGGGTCACTTTGCACCTCTTGACATTCTGTACAGCAAACCCACTAGTATGATTATTGGGGCTGAGGTGAGCGCAAACACCTGAGGGTTGAGCAGGGGACCCCAGGCTGTAGTCACTGCTTGCATGCCAAAGGGATGTCACTTCCAAGGCACATTAGTCTCCTGCCGTGAGAAATCTTGAAAAGTGAGGCGAGGCAGCCTGCCCGAGCTGTCAGGGAGAGCGAGAGGTGTGGGCAGAGCTGCCTCACGGCAGCCGCAAATGGCACAGTTCACACCGGGGCAAGCGGGAGAGCAAGCTAACAGGAAGCTGCCATTTCCACCGCTGCATCCTTTCCCTGGGGTTCTCCCTCCTATGTCTGGTTTCCTCTTCACCAGCTCGGCACGCTTGCTCAACCTTTGCCCAATTTTCTCCCATGACCACGACCGCGAGATCAGAAGGCACTGACACATAAAGGCCATATCGCTTCGACGGTGCAACAACTGCTTTTCGACGGAGCAACAAACCCCGCTCTGGTCAGGGGCTTCTTGGAGGCTGGCAGGAGCTGACCTGGTACCTGGAGGTGCAAGATGGCTGGCGCGCCTCGTTAGGAGCGCTTACGTGAACCACAAACATTCCCCTGTTTGGAGCTCACGGCCAAACGTGCATGGAGCCCCCTAGCCATCTAACAAGGCTCTCGGAAACTGAACCCGTTCGCTCGAGTGTCACCGAGAGGCAGTCATCGACCGCAGCGTCCCGGAGGCCACATTCGCAAAATTGTTTTCCGCAGCTTTTCTGCATTGCGATGAATTTCCTGCTTAAGTTTCATCGTGCTATTCCGCGTGCCAACCCGGAGCCCTGGCCGCTATTGAACAGGAAGACTGCTCTATAACAAAATAAATTGCATTGTGTTGCAAATGTAATTCTTCAGGCAATACACGAATCTCTACATTGCTTGCTGTCTGCAAATATATATATATGTGTGTATGTATTTTTTTTTTTCTGCAAGCGCTGCCAGGACTGGCAAAAAATACGCATTAAATCTCAAGCCTCTCTAACAAATGGAAAAGAGCGGAACTGTTTATCAGAGCCAACTCCTCGAGACAGAAAAAGGCAGCTTTTGGCACTCACAGCACACAGGCTAATCCTAAACAACCCAAACAATAGCAGAGATCCCTCGCTCCCTATCTGCACCCCAAACTTCTGCACGGACCCTAGCAGTGACGCGTCAGCCGTCCGGTGTGGACATCCCGACATCAGCTGCGGTCACGACTTGCATATTACCCAGACGTTTACAAGTTGTTCATGCCCGGAAGAACATCACACGGACGTCTCCGTCTTCTGAGATACAACTCACACATTTATAGAAATATGGCAGAGCTACCACGCCCGAGTCACTAGCGTGACTCTTTGGTCACTCTGAATACCCCTGCAGGCAGGTCAGTTGTCATCACAAACATGCTGTCAGCATTCCTTTTGGTTTTCCCCTTCCCATCCCAACGTCCACACAGGATTTCAGAGCAACCGTTCCACCCTTTTCTATGAGATGCCCTCGCCGCCCTCTCAGACTAGTGCTGCGGAGAGAGCGTTTCAGCCTCTGCCACAGAAAAACACATCACAATTTGAAAGGAAAAGGGGGTTTTGCCAAATCAATACAAATTAAAGCTCCCATTTTCTCTTTCCCATCTCCAACTCCTCAGAGAGTGGATTACTTCCAAAACTTAATTTACCACAGATTCCTGAGCTGGGGCCTTCTCTGCCAGAGCAGCCCTCCCTGCTCGCAGAGGCAAGGAGCAAATAACAACCTTAGCTTTGTTTCAAAGCTGCCGTGGCCTTTCAAGGCAAACTCGGGGTGCAAAACCAATCAGACTTGCACTGAATCCCGGGTAGATGTGACCGGTGGGGAGGGAAAGTGAAGTTACAAAATCCAGCCTCAAGAGGATTATAGAATGGTTTGGTGTGGAAGGGACCTCAAAGATCATCTAGTTCCAACCCCATTGCCATGGCAGAGACACCTCCCACTAGACCAAGTTGCTCAAGGCTCCATCCAACCTGGTCTTGAACACTTCCAGGGATGGAGCTTCCACAGCTTCCTTAGGCAACCTACTCCAGTGTCTCTCCACCCTCAGGGTGAAGAACTTCCTTGTATCTGGGATGACCAAGGACAAGAAGGGAGCACGGAGCAGAAGGTTATGACCGGCCAGCCAGACAACAAATGGCTTCCCATCCACCTCCACAGCCCATTCTTTCCATCACCCCACTGCTTCTCACTCTCTTTCCCCTGTGTTAGGAAGCCCCGTTCCCTCTCCTCGAGACTGAGCGCGGGACCAGTTTACTCTGGTCCTACCCACGCTTTGGCATGCCCCTTATTCTCTGTTCCATCCCTGGGCACCGCTCACCACGTTGCAGTCTCGGGAGAAGCCCGCTCTATGCGCACGCCCCGAGCACACACACCTCGACACGCTCGGATGCCACGCACCCGGTGAGGCTGCTTTCGGCACCGGGCCGGCTGCTACCGGGTGCTTTCTGTGTCTCGCCCAGCACCCTGGCCCCATTACTGCCACGATAACGCGCTTTCAAACTGAATCACCCTTTATAAATTGAAGGCGCAGGAGCGAGCGGGAGGCGCGAGTGGTTTATATCGCAACCGAGCTACTGCTCAATGCCAACACTTCAGCTCCCTTATAAAGGCTTTTCTCCTGAGGTGCCCGTAGCCTCCTGCACAAATAGCTCTGTTTCATCACCGCAGAGGCACAGGCACAGTGAAGGTCGCGTATCACAGCACAGAGGAAAAATGAAATCCGCATTTATATCTCACAAAAAATAACCGCGCTATGATCAAGCAGAAAACTAACTGGCATCGGAGCTTTGTTTAGACACGCTGCCTACAAACACTGAAGAGGTGATACTTTCCCTGGAGATATGAGAGCAGGGAGCGAGGCTCGTAGGGTCTCCCACAAAAGAGAACAAAAGGACCGTGGTGCTTCTCTGCCCAAAGGGGAACTGAGGAGCAGTAACACAAAGTGACTCACTCAATTTTATACACGAAGGCCAGGACAGTTATATATATCTATCTATCTAGAGATAGATATATAGATATATAGATATATATATAAACACATAGACATATACTCAGCCATCAAACACCACCCATCAAGAAGTACAGCTAATTGCTCTTACCGGAGTCGTGCTGCTTCCTCCATAGAAAGTGACTTCCTCCCAGGTGACGATGAAGATCCAGATGGCGGAGAAAGAGGACATGTCTCTGAAGTGCTTGCGGATGTCTTTGGAGGCTCTTCTCAGCAGCTCGGGGTCCGTGCTCTCCCTGTAGTAGATTTCTCCCCGGATGCCGTTGTGCACGTCTGCCCAGAAGGGCGCGACAAAGGCCCGGCCATCTGTCAGGGGGAAGGCTTCCGGTGTGAACTGGCTGACGAGGGCGTTGAAGGAAATCACGCCGTTGTTGTTGACCTGCACAAAGAGACGCGCTTTCGTTTGAGCAAGCCTTTGCAGGTAGCGGAAAGCTGCCGGTTTATCAGAAAACTTGGGGTGAGCGACTTTTGGCAGAAGCCGCTGAGACAGCCTGACCATCCAGGCAGAGATTCAACCTCATCCTACCGGTGGTGGCCAAAGGCTGAGCGCAGGAAGGCCCAGGCTGCGTGCAGGACAAAACCCCGAAATGTCTGCAAAACAGGGGTCCTACAGGCCAGTGCAGGAGAGGCACCCATCAGAGAGAGATGACTCCTGCCTTGGCTAGAACCCTGCCTTGGGGCCCTGGGCTTACCCAGCCTTTGGAGAGCAGCTCTGCAGCACCGAGAGACCCGGCCGCATGACACAGGTCGCTGCACGGCACAAGGGCTCCCAGAAAAAAAAATTTAAAAAAAAAAAAAAAAAAGAGGTAAATCCTGGGGCTCCCCAAGAGCAGCGTGACACGTGGTGCCAAGGGCAGCCTCCCCGGACTCTGCTCAAGAGGCTCCCCAAAACAATTATTTTTGCAAAGCGTGGAGAACAAGTGGCCCTGCTGTCCCAGATGCTGAAATCGCCCACCACACGAGCGTTTGAAACGCCTTCGGGATTACTGCTTTCCCACTGTCGCTGGGTACAAACACGAGCCGATTGGCGGGCGAACAACTAATTCTTCGCCTCTCTCCTGACCCTGCGGGGCTGGCAGGTTTATATCCCGCTTTCAACGGGGCATACCTACAGACACTGGCTCACCGCAGAACACGGACATGCCTGGGATCTGGCACATGGTCACGCTGGCTTCAGCCCCTGTCTAAGACACAGTTTTCATGTTCTCAGGTGAACCCTCTCAGCCCAGTCCAGAGGAGCCCGTGTCCCCTTTTCGCCAGGCTTTTGCTGCGCTGTCATCAGAGAATGGCAGCGGCCTGTCCTTGCCTCAGGCACCTACATATGGGTCCAAACTGTTGCTCTTTTTTTTTCCCCCCCCCCTGCAGGTCTCTGCATGTTCCTGTTTCTTGTCATGTAACAGGAATAATGTTTCTGGTGTCAAGGCCTTAGCTTTGCTGTACCACGTAATCACCTACAAAGAAAATTTATTGCCTTTTATATTCCTTCCCCACGAACATTAGCCCATTAAATATACCTTTGACTTTCTTAATCATAAAACCTATCAGTTCATGAAATCTAAGAACTTGTCAGGCAGGTGCTAATAAATCTTCCGATTCCTGACGATGGAGAGAGCACGTTTAAAATGCAGCCGCTAATGGCAAGGAACGCAATAAAGGGAAGGTCTGCTTCTCCACTTACATAAATGCTTCTGTACGGTGCTCCAAAAAAGATGAATGGGACAGAGATCTTGATCTCAGGAGAACTTCCATCATCGACTTTGGGCGTTTTCGTGTCATTCTGCCAGAACGGATACAGACTCGCCGTAGCGTGAGCTGGAGGGAGAGGGAGAAGAGAGTCCTTCTGGCAATGTCAGGACCAGTCCTGACTTCAGAGAGGCCACAGTGGAGGCCCTGAGGTTGCCTGTCCCCAAATGTTTACTTCCTGTGGAGAGCAAAATAGCTGCCTTGCCCTCACCTCTTTCGCCGGTGCGGATGCACAGCGGGTGCCAAAGGTCTGCTGGCCAGCAGCCTGCGCCTAAGCCGTGAGAGGTTTTGGGGTGGGGGTGAAAATCTGCGCTGCACACTTGAGGTGGCAGCCTAAGAGTGACTAGCCAAACCGGTACGTGGCCATGATGCTGTATTCTGCACCACGGCCGCTGAGGAAAACAGCGCCAAACCCCAGGATCAGCAGCAGCCAAACCTCATCTCAAGCCAGGGCAGAGGTACTAGCTCTGACACAGGGTCACGGAGGAGGGCATCGTGCAAAGGTTATTTAAAGCTGCAGCGAAGTGACCACAAGATGTGCGTACAGCTTGCAGCTGCGCATTTGGTTTTCCATGTGACTGCGATCAAGTCATAATGCCTATGTCTTGGCTTCACGTTGAGACAACAAGGACAACAGGTTCAGTACCCCATGCTCCAGAATGGGCAGGATTTGCTGTTTCAAGATACAGAGGTGCTCAGGTGCCCACCGACCGAACAGCACCAAGATGGACCCCCAGAGCCCCGGTCCTGGTAGCGGCCACCTTTCTTCTGCCCGCAGGGCAGCACCCTCCCGAGTGCCAAGGACAGCCCTCCCTGTCAGACCCCCAGTGCTCCCGGTGCTGGGATACGGCCCGAGGCATCACGACTGCTTCAACGTTTCCTGGCAAAATCAGGTTTCCTGCTAAAAGGCACTGCCGGTGAACATAATGGTCTCTCCTAAAAATATTTCAGAAGACAGTTTTGACATGTTTCAATACAAATCTGCCGCTTTCTACCAGTCTAAAATCCATCAGCTTGAGTCACAATTGGCACTTCTGGCCCTAGGGCACACATCCTTTCCCATTCCAGGCCCTGCCAGATCTCTGCTGTCATCTCATGCCCTGTTTCTTCCAGTTAGTTACTGGTGTGGCTCCTCACAGACCAAATGGGGATTTTGCTGGGTTTTCCTCCCCCTCCTGCTCTCTTTACTTTAGAAAAGCAGCTCCCTGTCTTCGCAGCATTCAATCTTGGCCGACATGAGTCACCGGGCTCTGACCAGTCCCTGCTCTGTTCACCTGGATTCAGGACATGCTTTTATTTCTCCATGAGACTGGCAAGTTTCAACATCATAGAAGGCCATGGCTCAGAAGGAGACCCTGGCTGCTAGCTGGTCTCATCTCCTGCCCAAAGCAGGTCTGACCCCCACAGTCAGAGCAGGTTGCTCAGGGCCTCCTCCAGCCCGAATGGGAACACCACCTCTTCACCAAACAAAATGCCTCACAAGAAATGGGGTGTGAGCGAAAGGAGAGGCTTCTTGCTGCAGGCTGCAGCCCTGCGACCCCGCCAGAGGCACCTCCACGTCTGCTGTCAAATGTCCTCCGTGGGAGCCCCAGGGGAACCTCGCTACCTGCAAACCATGACGTTTTGCTACCGCTCACCCAATTTGCTCTTTACTGGACACAGGTTAGTGAGCCCCGATATTTTTCAAACTCCTATTTCGTAGCGACTGGCCAGACCATCACAACCTCTGGATGTGCACACACACGGCCATATAAGTGATATATATGCACGCGTACATAAAACACTCATCGAGCTCAAGAGCTTCTGTGGCCTCTATATCCTGCCGGCTTTGCCAGCTTCATATTCAGCACGGCACGCCAGCTCCTTGTTTAATGTAAACTACCGCCGCTTCGTTGCTCTCAATGAAGCAAGGGCCATTTGTGCAGGCTGTCGATCCATCTCCCACGACGCAAGCTGTCAGTTGTGCAAAATTGGCACCTGCGCTTACTCACAAAGGCGCACCAATCTCCCCGCACAGCGCTCACCCTTAAAATCGGCAGTCCTTCCCTCCCTCCCTCCCCGTGGGAAATGCTAAGTTCACCCTGGTTCTTGTCTGTGCTCCAGCCAAGGGGTTGGATGTGTTGTCCGGGCCCTCCGTACTTCAGGGGTGTCTGAGCACAGCACGGCTCCAAGGGGATCGCTTTCCCAGCCCAGCTGAGAGCGTCGGCCTCCAGCACCCGAGCGGGAGATACTCACCTCGCTGCCACGCAGTTACCACCAAAAGGGCCACCCAGGTTCCGAGAAACGATTGCTTGTTCATCCTACAGGAAGGACAGAAACCTGGACATGCATCACATTGGTAGGAAACTGCATCCTCGAGCAAACCCCAGGTGACGCTGAGCATCATCGCTTCCCGAAGCTGCCCGACTGCTGCTGACGCGCAGACGTTTCAGAGATGGAGGTCCCTCAGCCGCCAAGCAGACCTGAAATGCCTACTCTATTAGGCAGTGTAATGATACTTCCCTGGTGACAACAGCAAATGCCCTGCAGGTATTGTCAAAGTAAGCCCACAACCACACAGAAGAGCTGCTGCTAATTTCACGCAGTGTTTGGAAGTTGTAAATAGCCTCAGCTCTCTCTCCGTGGGCTGTCTATTCTCCCGCTAGTTCAAAAGCAATTCCTCCCTGATCCGCTTAGTGCCAGGATGGACGCTTCTGCCTGACTTCGAGGGGAACAGCTTCACGCCGCTCCAAACGCGAGAGCCGACGCAGAGCTGCGGCGTGCTCGCGTAGTCCAGGGGCTTCAGATACCGCTTCGACTAATCCTTTGCATTGGCCGCTAGCACAACGATCGCTTCCCGGTTTTGATGAGTGTGGAAGCTGCACAAACATTTACACAGCTGGGCAACTCCTTGCTGTACAGAAATCAATGACAGAGAGAGAAGCAGATACGGGGCTGGGAAAATGGAAGCGAAATCCTGTGCCAGCTTTAATTCTTTCTGTGCCTAATGCAATTTGTTACTCATTATTAATCCAATAGAAAATATTGCTAAAACACCTGCTTTGATTTCTTCGCCTGTCGCTTCTGCTCGTTACACACTGACCCGGCTCGTGTAGAGCTCCCAGGAAGGTATCCTGCGCTCCCAGCGTGCGTGTGCCCACCGGAAAAACGCGCGATCAGCTTCAGACAGAAACTATATCTACGCATTATGTACAGCCTTAGTTTCAATACCAGCCTCTCCACCTTCTCAGCCTTATACATCCCATGCATTTCAGTTGCGCGGACCCACTGGCTACAAAACTCAGCATCCCTTCGTGTTCTCCCTGTAGATCTGTTCCTATGGCGTGCAGGGATCAACCGATTCAACTCTTAAGTATACCCACATACATGTATAACACATACAGCACAGGACTACAGTGTGGGACATGCCATCGTCTGTCCCACATCACTTCCACTTGACTCCCATTACCAGGAGCTCGTAAAGCCTGAAACATGGTGGAAGGAAAGTTCTTCCCTGCTTTACTCCTCCTCACTGGCCACAGCCCGCTTCCAGCTACCGCGTCCTGCATTGAGAGAAATTCATTCCACCGAGGCAAAGTTTTATCACATTCCCTATCTTGGAAAGGTGAAGGGAGGACGACAGATTTTTATGTAGATCGTAACTCTGCATCGCTGCGGATTCATTAGCAGAGACTGGGCAGACAATGACTACTGGAGACTATGGCAATCGAAGAACGAGAGCCAGACCGGCACCGCTTGGGAAACATGACAGACAACAAAGATTACCTTACTTAATGTATCACATGCAAAAAATACTATTTTTTAGGTATGGAAAAAAATAATTACCAACCTGTTTCGAAGACTAGAGGAGCAATCAGGTCTGAAATTTTAGACTGATCTTGGTAGACCAGGGAGAAATCCTATGTCAATGGAGAATGCATGCCGGTCCTCCTTTGCCAATTATTGCCGATGACTGAAACGACGTCTCGGTCCCCTTGCTCTTGCAATTGAAAAGTCTGTTTTCTTCGATGCTGTTCCAGGGCTGGAGGAGTGTTGAGTTGCAATCACAACCGTTGCCTCTATTGATAACCAGCAAGCTAATCTGGAGATCAGATTCTGGCCTGGAGAGGGAGAGAGGCCTCTTTCTTCCCCAAACGGTCACCCCCTCCAGGTGGATTCAGATGGAAATGTCAGTGAGCCAGACCTCGGCTCACGGCTGTGCTGCTCAGCATCGCTTTTTGCTGAGGGAAAAAACCAAAAACCCTCAGAAGAATTGAGCCCCTTCCTTCTTTGTGTAAGTGGAAAAAAAAATGCCCATCTAGATAATGTTACAGGATTAGCATTAAACAGTGCTAGGCTTAAAGCACCGTTCAAAGGCAGTGCCCCTAAGCTTCAATGGAGTTGCTTTTCCATCAAAGTCTCATTTTACTTTCTGTAACGCAACTTACTTCTGCTTTTACAGGTGGAAGAAGAAAACCTTTCTCAGTGCAGCGTGCTCTCTCCAGATCTGCCAGAGAGGGTTTCAGTGCTGTTCCCGCTTCCACCCTCTCTGGAAGGGCTGGCATTTTCACTCAGGCGGGTGAAGAGTTTTGCTGGGGGACTGCTGTGAGCGTTATTAGCGTTTCCACTCATACAACCTGCCGTTTCCACGGGGATTTTCCCTGCCTCTGGTGCCTGGGCTGCACAGCACGCCCACAAGCACCTGTAGCAGCCAGCGAAGTTCGCTGTTGACGTCCTCTCTCGGCACTATCCACCTTCTCTTGTGGGCGCCCACAGCCCCGTCTTTTCTCTAACTCCATCTCCCCTGCCCTCCTCCTCTAATGACAGCGTGTCTCTGCACGTCCAACCGTTTTGCTACATACACAGCTACACTGACGGCCGATACCGCGGGCTACAGGTGTCGCTGAGGTGAGGATGCCTTGTCCACAAGCGTGCAATTACAGGCTTGCAGGACGGGGACATAATGGGCTATGCGAGGGTGCGCTGGCCCCCCGTGCCCGTGCCCCACGGCCACCTGAGCTGAGCAACTACCAAGGATGCTTTATTGCTCCTCGGCGCCCGGGGGCAGCTGCCGCTTGGAGAACATTTCCCCCCGTGCCGATGGGCCAGCTCCTCCGTGCTCTCGCTGGCAGTGCGTGGGACTGCCGCTAGCCCCCGAGAGTGGTACCTGCCAAAGCTTCGCAGGCTGTAAGCCTCAAGCTGTGTTACCGAGACCAAAGCTCTTCATCCAAGCCCAGTGTGTAGCCTGAGAGAAGATCTCTGCTTTAATTTCATCCACACCAATGCCAGATGAGGGAGGCAGAGGCAGACCCGTGGCTGGGGGCGAAGGAAGCAATCGGCAGAACCCCATTCGAGCCGACGTTTACAGCCTGCATTCAGGCTCCATTAAGACAGGCAGAGTTCCAACCCCAGCAGTCCACTGTGGGAAACCAGCCACGTTCTCACAGACAAAACCGCACGGCCCAACCCAGGCCGAAGGATTTTCCCTTCTGACTTTTTGGGTGGGGGCCTTTTACTCCCTGTGTTCTCTGCTAGCAGGTAGGTATTCCTCCTGCGCTCCTCGTACGCCTGCTGCCCACCCTTTGTCAGGAACGGAGAGGGGACAGCAATGCTAGCAGCCAAACGAGAAGCACCTAGAAGCCCAGACTTTTTTCCCTGGATCCCAGGTGCTCTTAAAAGCGTGTTTAGTACGTTCACCCCCAAAGTGCCATATCTTACCTTAGCAGTTTCTTTCAGCGCATCAGGGCACCGGGCAGTACACTGCCTCCACAGCAAAGCGTGGAGCTTGCTTTCTTGTTATCCCCCAAGCATGGCCTTGCTAACAGGAAGCCTTTATCTTTTCTTTGTTTATTTTTTTTTTTCCCCCTTTCCTAAACCACAACTACTTCAGGAGGGCAGGGGAATTATAAAGCACTGACCAATGTTCCAGGGGTAGATTACTTCCAGCCTACCACTCCACACACCCTGGCTCTTCCTTTCCCTCCCATAGAAATTCTCAATGTTACCAGCCACAGGAAAACCAATTGACCCTTCTCAGCCTGTTTTGTAAGAGAGAAAACTGGAGAAAACAGGTTTCCCTCTGCTCCTTTGTCATTTTAATATTCTAGTCCTGTTTGTCCTGGGCAAGTCTGGACTGATGAAGTTTGATTAGGCTTCACTGTCTCTTTTGGGAAAACTTTGTCTTCTAGGCTATTTTCTTTTGGCAGGGGATGCTCCCATCATGCCATGCTGAGCACACTGGAGCCAAACAAACCACCTTTTTTTTTTTTTTTTTTTTTCCCCGTGTAGCAGAAAACTTCCTTCCCATGCCCAACCTCATGAAAAACCAGGCATTAAAAGATGAGACAAGGCGGTCTCTGGCTGCTTGACCTCGGCAGAGCAACCGCAGGCAGCACCTTGTCGCGTCCCAATTTCGAGGGAGCCGGCCCAGCCCAGGGAAGATGCCCTGGTGAGGCGTTTGCCCAGGAGCTGCGTCCCATCCGGAAGGACATGTCCCTCCTCCTGCCTCTCCCCAGGGTCGTTCGGTGCAGGCCAGCATGGGCTAGGCCCATGACTACTGCCTTAGTGGGCCATACTGCCCTCTCCATCAGCAACTACAAGCCTTTCCTCAAGGCTGAAACTTGTTTTATCCCCAAGGCCAGTCCCACCCAGGACACGGAGCAGGTAACACAGAGAGCAAGCTCGAGTGCTGTTCCTCACCTGGAAGTGGAGATGATTTCTCCTTTCGATTTCTCCTTTCGACAAGAGGCATCTTGCACAAGTGAGGTGACTGTGCCTGAGTCCCTCTCCGGGGACACAGCCGTCACGAACAGTCAGCAGAACAAAAACATCTCGGCAGCTTTCGCTCTCCCGAAGGTGCGTGTTAAGCATACAGGTGAGATGGAGGAAATGTTTTGCTTCAGGGAACACAAAAGTGCAAAACTCGGAACACTTTTTTTGTGTAAAAACTTACATAAGTTTATTGAACTGATCCAAACCAATTACCTGTTTGGCCTGAATTCCACCGCTAAGTCTGCGAGCAAACCAAAGGCAAATTCCGGGAGCGGGAAGAATATTCCTCGTGAGAGAAACCAGAATAAAAAACGAGATGGACTTACTTCCTTTTTCTTTAAAATTATATATGGATGCATCATTAATAGGGAGCAAGAATAGACCTTCATGTTTAAATTACATTTGAAGTTCCAAGTAACTGCAGAAAAGCAATCACGGAGGCAAAGGCCCGAGATGGCTACGGCCCCTCTAACGTTGCTCTGGGGAAGGCGTCTCTCTACCGCCTACAAAAGTGCCACATTCAAATGAGGGAGGCACAGCTGCCAGGAA